CTTCTTTTTCAATTTTTCCATTTTTTCATTTTTCTTTTCCTTTTTACGACGCTAATTCAATAATAATATTATTTGATGCAAACTTATCGTGCACGTTCTCTCTTTTTTCGGTGAAAAAGTCTTTTCTATTATTATGATTGTTTGACCCATTCTCACATGTTTTGAACCAAACCAAACCGACCAACCAATCTTTGACAATCAAGTGTCCAGAAAGTTTCAATTTTTTTCTCCATTTGCAAAAAACCTGGACAAAAAAAAGAAAGTGATTTTTTTTTTGTTTTGAAAAACCGGCCACAGTTTGAAATTTCATTTCATTTCATTGATGTTTTTTGCATCATTCGACTTTTGACTTTATCATCATCATCATCATCATTTTTGAATTAAAAAAAAAGATGTGGTAGCAAAAACCCAAATTTAATTATGTAACTTTGAAACTTTTTTTTCTTCTTTCAACAACAACAACAACAACAAAATGTGATTCAAATATTCATTCATTTGTTTAACCTAAAGTTTTTCTTTTGTTTGTTTCTTTTCTCCAAAATCAACTTGTTCCTTTCATTCATTCATTCATTCATCGATTGTGTGTGTGTGTGTGTGAATATTCAGTTTTTTTCCGTTGATTCAAAGAATATTTCTGTATCAGATTTGTTATTCAATCAATCAACAAACAATCTAAACAACAACAACAAACAATAATTGAATGTTTGATTAAGGTAAGTTTCAATCAATCAATCAATCAAGCAATCTGGTTTGCTGAAATAGAAACCCAGATGAAAAAAACGCTTAACTGATTTTTTTTTGTTGCTTTGAAAAAACGATAAAAAGTNTCACGTTTTTGCGTGTTTTAACCACCACCACCACCACCATCATCGATAAATAGATACCCCAAATAGACGACAAAATATCTTTTCATTTTTTTTTTCTAAACAAATTATTTTCGTCACACAAAATGATTTCGATTTTGATCTAATTTTTGTTTCTTATCGAGAATAATAATGATGATTCCTTTCCTTTCCTTTCTATACTGTTTTGGTTATTTCCAAAAAACCTAATTGACGTTATTCATTTTGCGATAAGTATCGTTATTATTTTACAAAGTAGACCCAGACTTAGACACATTGTTATCATCTTTTTTTCTGTGTAAAAATTCTTGTAAAAACATTGTAAACAAACGTAAATATTGATCATCCTCAAAACCTTCACCTTTTCTCGAAAAAAAAGCCACTAAAAAAATATATATTTGATGTTGGTGGACGATGTGTCAAATGATGCATGATGGAATCTTCTTTTCTTTTCTCTTTTTTCTTTTGAAATTGTCAAATGACATTCCATTTTTCCACAAAAAAAGAAAATTGTCATTCAAATGATGTGGAACTGAATTCAACAACAACAACAACAAAAACGTATCGATCATCATTGATCATTGATATTTATTATGGAAATGTAGAATGACAATTTGAATTTTGGAAAATGTTCTCCATCACTATGTGTGTTTGAATTTTAAATAAGGGTGATGATCAATTTATGATTGTTGTTGTTGTGGTGGTGGTCAGTGGTCATTCGAGAATCGAAATGGCATTTTATATCCTGTTTTTTGAAAATATTTTCTTATTGTCAACAACAAACAAACGACCAAAATATGAAACATTTTGAAATTCCAGTCTCGAAAAAATTTGTTTTTGTTTGTTTTATTGTCAATTTCATTCGATCAGAAGAAACAAGAAATTTACATAACAAAAAAAACAAGAATTTCATTTGACAAATAAACAAAAAGTAAACAAAACAAACAAACAAACAAAATTCATTGCCGGATGTTTATTTGTTTAACATCAGCGACAATGTAATGAATTTGTATTCATTTTCGAGAAAAAAAAGAAGATGACCGACATTGATTCTAGAAAACTCAAAGAAACTCGAAGAAACTCAAAGAAATTGAAAGAAATTTCTTCCAAATATCGATCATCAATAGAGAAATAATGTTTTTCGCTTGCTTGTTTGTCTATTTTATATCATCAGAAACATTCAATACAAACGCACAGAGCAGTTTCTTTCATAGTTTCCTTTCGTTGTTTTCTCGTTGTCGATGTTTTCACATCTTAAATTTTGTCAAGCATAAAAGAATCATAATAATAATCGGTAATACGGATATTGCCATCGACCCAAAACACAAGCATTCATTCATTCATTCATTTTATGCTTATTTACTAACTAACAAAATCAAAGTCTACCGAAGAATAGTGATAAAGAAGAAAAAATCAATCAGGCAAATACAATTTATTTATATTGAATCGAATTGAATAAAAAGAATGTTTTTTCTTGCTTCTTTTCCGTTTCTTCATATAAAACGAAAAAAAACGTTTAATGATGAAAATGGATTTTCCAAAATGATTTTATTGGAAATTGGAAAAATTCAGCCAACAAAAAGCTTTCGTTTCTCCTTTTTTTTCACTGAATGCTTGCAATGGGCAAAGGTCAGTTGAATATAGAGAACATCTATGCAGAATGAACAAAGTAAATACAGATTTAGCATCTGAAAAAAATATGATACTTTCTTGTCAACTATCGTGGCTTGTCAATTGTTTCTATATTTATTTATAAAGACAACAGCCACGACAAGATGATGATCAACAAAATTGATCAATCAAAAAACGTCATCGATATCTGTGTTCATTGATTATCTTGTTGTTGTTTTCTTGTATCTTACTAACGATAATTCAATCGATCATCATCTGTGTTTACTGGATCAACAACCAGATTGAACCTCCAATCGTACTGATAATTGTTTTTTCTTTTTTCAATGGAAAAAATTGCTTTTTTTTCTTTCTTCTATTTTCTACACGATCGTGTTCTGTAGATTAAGCATCAAACATATAAATGGTTATTGTTACCGAACTAAACGGAGGAAAAATGCTTTTGTTCAATCCATTTTGGGTTTCATCAATTTTGTTGTTGTTGTTATCGTTGTAATGAGATAATCTTAAACCCGAAAAAGCATCATTAGCAAAAGATAATGGACGAAATGAAAATTACAACCTGAGTTTTTTTTGGGTGGAAATCATTCGTTAACACAAAAAAAAAGATCAATCAGAAGGCGATCGATTTTAAAACAATGTCGATTGATATTTTCGTTTGTTTGTTTGTTTGTTTGGTTTGGTTTGATATTTGATATAATCGGATTGAATTTTTTTCTTTTTTTTTTTTGGATGAAAATAAACGAACAAAAATCATCATTCCCTCTCACAACGTCGCCGGATTATATTTAAATGAAAATGACATTTTCACTGGTCTTCTAAAGATCTTATCAAATTCATCACATCACATCAGTTGATTTAATAGGAAAAAAATTTTCATTTTTCCTCTTCTCGTTGTTTGTTTCTTGCTTAGGATAATTAATTACTTGATGAGGGAGAGAGAGAGAGAGAGAGAGAGAGAGAGAGAGAGAGAGAGAGACTTGAAATGATAACGCAGGAGGAAGATTATAAATAAATATAAATAAAGGATGTGAAAAATAAAAATAAAAGTAAAAGTGTACAACAACAACAAAAAAAAAATTACCGTTATAATTTTTTTTGACATTTCCTTCATTTGATTTTGTTTTTCCCATTTCCATTTCATTTCAACCAAAAATATAAAAATAAATAACTTTCGCTTTTTCTGTTGTTGTTCGGAAAAAATTTTTTGAATAAAATTCTTTACTTTTCATTCATTTATTTTCTTTTTATTTTAAGGTAATCTTATGGAGAAAGAGAGTGAAACACCTTTTCATTCATTCATTCATTCATTCATCTTTTTTGGTTTCTGGTTGATAAAAGTTATGATAAATTTAAGTAATAAGTAATATTTTCTTGTTTTTGTATTTACACAACGTTCGTCGTTGTCGTCGTCATTGTTGTTTTGCTTGTTCAATAATTAATTGTAAATGAAAATGAAAAAAGAAAATGAAAAATGTTGAATAAATAAAGAAAATGAAAATGTTTTTGCGTTTGTTTTTCGTTTTTCGCTAAGAATATATAATGGATGCAGTTGCTAAATTATCAAATTATTATAAAAACATCAACCCTTTTTTTTAATGAAAAACTTGAAATTTTTGTCATCGAAATTCATTAATTTGGTACCAAAAAAAAAATTGCACCGAATAACAACAAATAATAATCAGGTCAAATCAAGATGTTTTTGATGATAATGACTTTCCTTTTTTTTTTGGATCAAAATAGCAACGAAAGAAACAGTAACGAAATAGACAATCCTTTTTGATCCTTTTTTGTTTTTGATTCAAAAAACAAAAAAAAAACAAAGGCAATCACTATGTGAATGAGTGATTAACATCTGCCATAAAATTTGCTACTAGTATTGAACACACACACACGTCATGATCCGAAAACAAATTGGTTTTTGTGAATATGGAGAGAAAATGAAAGAGAAACATACAGGGTACAAAATTTGGAAATGATCTTCGGTTGTTTTGCATTAAACTGATCAGATATGTTCAAAGTAAATAAGCTATGAAGAGAAAAGAAAATCGACAAACAACAAAAATAACCTAATGACGTTTTTTGTTTATGGATTGATCGTTGATTTAATTGATGAATTGAGGATACATAACTTTCATTTATTTCCCAAATTAGCAAATTTTGTAGAAAGTAATTTTTCTTCTTTTCTTATTTGATCGATTGATTCATCTTTTCCATTGTCTATGTAGAGACACAAATGAAGAGAGAAAACAAACAAAATCAGGATCATCAACCTGGTAATTGATGATTGAAGATTATAATCATAATCATCATCTATTTTTATGGAAAAAAAAATATTGAACTTTGAAGAGAGAGATAAAGAGATTGATCGTTGTAAATTATTTTTTCTTGACTGAATCTTTACGTTTGGAAAAAAAAATCGGAAATTACCTGTATTAATGAATGTTTTTTTCTTGTTTTCTTTTTTTCAAAAAAAAAAACAGATTTTTTCATACATCGATCAACAATCAACAGGGGATAATCCATCATCATCGACAAATGATTATCGTAAAAAGATGAAAATTTTCAGAAAAAATTTCATTCAAATAACAGCAACATTGCTGTTGTTGTTGTTGGTTTGTTGTCAACCTGGTTGGTCCAATGATGACCACAATAATAAAGAAAACGGTGGGGCTGGTGGTGCGGTATTTGTTGATCTAAAACAACAACAACAATCATTGAATAAAACTGATAATGAAAAATTAATAGTGCCAAAAAATACAACAACAACAACAAATATCATTAGTCAATTAATAAAATCAACTGCATCTGCATCAAGTGCATCAACAAATGCTCAAAGAAGATCATATGAAGATGATGATTATGAAACACAATCATTATTTAAATCATTAATACCAAAATCATCAACATTTAAAAAACCAATTAAAAAAATATTTCGATCATGGTTTGAACCGGATCCAGAAGCATTGGATGATGAATCGAAAAAAAGTTCATATTATTTTGCTAGGCCAAAATCAAATCCATTACATTCGTTACCACAACGTAATAATCGAAATAATCCAATTCAACAGGATTCCTCATCATCATCCATAAATCGACAGCCAATAGCACATCATCCAATTGGTTCAAATTATGGAAATCGATTAACTAAATATTCAAATCACGATCAACAACAACAACAACAACAACAATATAGTAATATAGCATCATCACCATATACAAATAAAGCATCAAGTAGACAATTTTCAATTGGTGATCCAGTTAATGGACGTGGTTTAACATTATCATTTGGTGATCAATCAAATGAACCATCATCTGCATCAAGTTATTCACAAACGGTGGAACAAAAACCACAATATGGTTATAATTCTGGAAATGCGGGTAATCCAAGTCCAGGTTTAAGTCTATCATTTGGTGGTAATGGAGGTGGTGATAGTGGTGGTGGTGGTGGTGGTTCAGGAATGTCATTTAATATTGGACGAGGTAATGGTGGTGATGGTCGTGGAATGTCATTATCATTAGGTCGTGGAAATTCCGGTGGTTCTGGTTTAAGTTTTTCATTTGGTGGTGGTGGCGGCGGTGGAGGAGGAGGTGGTGGTGGAAGTGGAAATGGATATGCTCAAAGTGGTTCAGCAAGTTATCCATCATATTCATCATCATATGGTGGTGGCAGTGGTTATAATAATTATGGTGTTAGTTATGGAAATAATTATAATAATTATGATTATAATCAACCTGTATTCAGTATGGTAATGCCATCATCAGGAAAACAAGTTATTGAATATAATCAACATCCATCAAAAATGAAAATGAAAATCAATTCCAGTCCACGAGTGAAAATAACTACGAATACAAAAGATCCATTAGATAAACCGGGTTTAGAAGATGAAGTGATACAGGAAGATATATTTGGACCACCTGAACCATTTGATAAACCAAATCGTACATCAACATCATCAATGAATGAAACTATGCAGAATGGTATACATAATATGACAATGATGATGGGACATTTCAATCAATCAATGTATCCATATTCACCATATTCACCATATCCACATTATTATCAATATCCATATAATTATTATTATCATAATTATTATCAACAACATTATCCATCACAATATTATCAATATATGATGAATGTATCATCGATGTATCCGAATATGATGATGATGCCACCGATGGCCGCTCCACCGATGTCACCGATGCCGCAACAGCAGCAACCACCGCAAATGAAACCACCACCAATGCAACAACAGCAACAACAACAACAATATCGTCCAAATTATTCACAATATGCCGCAAGTACAATGAATATGCCAACAAAAACTAATACAATACAGCCATCATTAATGCCAATGACATATAATATGCCTGTATCGACATCATATTCAATGTTACCCACCGCAAATACAATGCAATCACAATCACAATTATCATCTATTTATGGTTTGAATACTGGTCAAATAAAAACTACATATCCTCCAACATCGTCGATGGGACAACAACCTTCATTATCTGGATCTGGATTGTATACACAAACATCATGGCAACCTTATGGTCAACAGCAACAAATGATCAACAGCTATCAACAACAACAACCAAAATCATTAATGATCGATAATAATAATAACCATGGTTATAAACGATCATCAGCATCAAGAAATTATCAAAAAGATATGTTAACATTAAATTCATTACAAGGAACAATGCGAAAATCATCATATAACCAACGAAAATCATTACAACAACCATTACATAGTATGAAAAGAAATTCAAATAAATATTATACATATGATTTAATGCAAACATCTGAAAGTCAATTGAATCCACAACAACAACAACAACAATATCCAGGTTATAATCTGACTACCTTGGCATTAATGAATGATGCAACAAGAAATTATTATTATCAACCAATGGCAAGTAGTCAACAGGCAATGCCAGGTAGTCAACAACCAATGCCAGGTACTGGTGCTGGTTATTCATTTTTTAATAATACAATGATGGGTCAACATTATAACGGTAGTAGCAGTAGTTATTGGAATCCATATAATTATTATTATAGTCCATATTATTATAATTATTATAATAATTATTATAATTATGCAAAAAAATATTATGAAACATATTATGCAAATCAATTACAACAACAGAATAATAAAACATCTTCATCAACAACAAGTAAATATTATCCACGTAAAAATATAACATCAATAACTGGTTTCAGTCAGAATAGTTTTGATTATGAACAAAGTAAACGTTTTGGTCATCGTGCCATCAAATATCAAGGTGGTAGTACGAAAGAGGAAAAAGCACGTGTAATATTAGATATACGACCACGAGTGACGATAAAAATGTTGAATAAAACCGAACAAGCAATGCAAGATGAAGAATTAAAAAAGAAAAAGAAAGATCATATATTTAAAACACATATGGAAATTATTATGGAAACAACAACAACACCGAAACCATATTATTATAATAATTATGATAGTTATTATGGTTATAATTATGGACCAGAAGTTGATGATTTTGGTTGGACACATGAACCACCATATGGTTCAACAGAAACAACAACCCTTAAGCCACGAACAACAACAACAACCAGGCGACGAACAACAACAACAGAATCATCAAGTAGTTCAGAAGTTAGTGAAGAAGAAAATGGTACAAGTGAATCGACAAGTGGTGAATCAAGTACTGAAGAAGATGATCAATCATCATCATCAACGACTACAGAAGCCAGCGATACAGAATCGGTTAGTGAAGAAGTGGAAGAAGAATCAGATAGTGCCGAACAACAATCATCAAGTTCATCATCAACCACAACAACAACTGAATCTAGTGTATCAGAAGAAGGTGATGGTGGTGGTGGTGATGAAGAAGTTATCGATGCCAATGAAGATGATGATGATAATAATAAATCATCGGATAATAATGATGAAGATCAAGATGAAGATAATCGAAAATCGGATGATCAAGATGAAACGGCTGAAGGTGGTGGTGAAGAAGAAAATGGTGGTGAAGAAGAAGAAGAAGGAGAAGAGGAACAGAAAATCATTGATAGTAATCAATTAGTTGGTAATAATAATGTTACCGTATCACCTGAATTGGTACAAGCAATGATAAAAGCATTACAAGAAGCACTTGGTGTTACAACAACAACAACAATGACACCAATCGAAGATTTAGATGGATTTAATGAAGAAACGACAGGTAACAATGAAGATGATAATAATCAAATTGATGAACAATCTGAACATGAAGAAAATGATATGATAACCACGACTACAATGAAACCATCAATATTAAAACCGAAAAACGGTATTAAAGGTTAGTTTTTTTATATCGATTATTAATCGGTTATTAATCGGGTTTTTCCAAAATTTCTTTCAAAAAATTTACAGGTATAATTGAAACCGGTAGACGGCGATTACCAACAAATGTTATAACAACAACCGTACGAAATGTAACACAAGTTCGTTTGAAAACACCTGTATTAAGTATGCGTTCTGGGAAAACAACAACAACACCATCACAACGACGTTTTTTTACAACACCCAGACCAATATTTGGCAGCAATTCAAATGATAATGATAACGATGATGATGGTAATATTGAAACCGGAATAAAAAATATTAAAAACCTAATCGATTTAACAACAACATCACCATTATTGATTGTAAATAAATTACAACCAACACAATTAAATACACCGAAAATTATTGATGGTGATGCATTACTCAATAATTTTGATATTAATAATCTAACCGATGATGAAAGACGACAAATGTTAACAAATATATTGGGTGTTATACAGAATCGAGCACCAGCAACAACGATACCAACGACAGCGACAAATAATATTTTCGATACAAGAATAATTCGTTCATCGACAACAAAATCCAAGCAAACAAAAACATCAACAAAACGATCATCATCAAAACAAAAATCAACATCGACAACAACAAAAACACCGAAATCAACAAGATTATTGCCAGTAACAAAAGCAAATAATGTACGAATCATATCATCATTAGATGAATTGAATAAAGAAACTATTGGCGGTGTTGGTGTTAATGGTTCAGGGGATAAATCAAATCAACAACAACCTATTTATGTTGTTTTATTACCACAGAATAAGAAAAAGAAATAGAAGAAACAAACAAAACAAACCAGAACAAAATTCGCACATCCAAGTATACATTAGGATCATCATTATCATTATCATCAATTTTTTCAACCCTTTAAACTCTCAATCTATCAATCTCTCTTTAACTTTTTTTAACTATTTGACAGTCATTCTTTACTTTAGGTCATGTATGTAGTGATTATTTTTTTTCAACATAGAATATTTTTTTCTTCTCACACAAAGTGTTTATAAAAAAGGTGTTGATCACTGTTTTTTTTAACACTTAGACATCATTATCATCATTGTTCCATAGCATCTCATCATCATCATCATCATCGATATCATTTAATGAACATTTCGATTTTTTTTCATCTACTTTTTCTTTCGTTTTTTCACGAATCTTATTTAGCTCATATCATATATTTTACTTTTTCGACTATTTTAACATGTTATATATAGTGAGATAACATCTTTTATTATCATTACTGAGAGATGTATTTGTCAAATCATCATCATTATCCTCATTTTACATTGAAAACACTTTTTCCACAAACCAAATGATGATAATATCAATGTCATTCATTCATTCATTTAAATTTGTGATTCTTTTCCTTCATTTTCTCCCCGCCACCATCGCCACAAAGTACAAAAAACCCTTTTGTTCAAATTAGCCATTTTCTGAATTTTGACGCCTAAACTCAATTCGAAATTTTTTTCCCATTAATGATTCGGATTTGCACGACATTCTAATCTCTATATTCAACGAATGAAACAAACATTTATTTTTTCAAATCAATTTTTCTTCTTCTTCTTCTCGATGAAATGAAATCATCGCAAACATTTTTTTTTTCATTATTATTATTATTAGTCACATTATTTCACAATATGATAGTATTTTTCTTATNCTAATCGATTTAACAACAACATCACCATTATTGATTGTAAATAAATTACAACCAACACAATTGAATACACCGAAAATTATCGATGGTGATGCATTATTAAATAATTTTGATATAAATAATCTAACCGATGATGAAAGACGACAAATGTTAACAAATATATTGGGTGTTATACAGAATCGAGCACCAACAACCTTACCAACGACGACAGCAAATAATATTTTCGATACAAGAATAATTCGTTCATCGACATCAAAATCCAAACAAACAAAAATGTCAACAAAGCGATCATCCTCATCGAAACAAAAATCATCGACAACAACAACACCGAAATCAACAAGATTATTGCCAGTTACAAAAGCAAATAATGTACGAATCATATCATCATTAGATGAATTGAATAATGTTGGTGGTGGTGGTGGCGGTGTTAATGGTTCGGGGGATAAATCAAATCAACAACAGCCTATTTATGTTGTTTTATTACCACAGAATAAGAAAAAGAAATAGAAGAAAAACAAACAAACAAACAAACAACCAGATCAAAATTCAACAAATTCGCATTCGCACATCCAAGTATACATTAGGATCATCATTATCATCATCATCAATTTTTTTAACCCTTTAACTTCTCAATCTATCAATCTCTCTTTAACTTTTTTTAACTATTTGACAGTCATTCTTCTTTAGGTCATGTATGTAGTGATTATTTTTTTTTAAACATAGAATTTTTTTCTCACACACAAAGTGTTTAAAAAAAAGGTGTTGATCACTGTTTTTTGTAACACTTAGACATCATCATCATTATCATCATTGTTCCATAGCATCTCATCATCATCATCATCGATATCATCTACTTTTTCTTTCGTTTTTTTCACGAATCTTATTTTATATATTTAGCTCATATATTTTTTACTTTTTTTGAAAATATTTCGACTATTTTAACATGTTATATATAGTGAGATAACATCTTTCATTCATTCATTACTGAGAGAGAGAGAGATATTTGTCAAATCATCATCATCATTATTATCCTCATTGAAAAACATTAATATCCTCCACAACAACCCAAAACGAAGATAATATCAATGTCATTCATTCAAAATTGTGATTCTTTTCCATCATTTTCTCCCCCTCTATCGCCACAAAATACAAAAAACCCTTTTGTTCAAAATAGCCATTTTCTGAAATTTTTTTTCCCATTAATGATTCGAATTTGCACGATTTTCCAATCTCAATTCAACGAATGAAACCAAACATTTATTTTTTTCAAAATCAATTTTTCTTCTTCTTCTTATTCTCGATGAAATGAAATCATCACAAACATTTTTTTTTCATTATTATTATTAGTCACATTATTTCACAATATGATAGTATTTTTCTTATCGATCAATAAATGATCAATATTTTTTTTCAAATAAAATAAAAAGATTATTCGATGATAAAATCGTTCCATTTTGTTTTCAATTCTTTTATTCTATCCATTTGATTATCGAAATTTTCATTTTTAGATCGGGATCGATGAATATCGTACATTCCGATTATTACATCCTGTGCCAGAAACGAAACCGAAACAAAATCATTAACATAAATAAATATTTAATGAGAATCGAATACATACCTTTCCAAAATTTTTATCAAAATAATCTTCATCTTCAATAACATGACCATAACCATCAAAATTCGGCCCAATGCTAACCCAAAAATATGATAAACCTTTTGGTAATTTTTTCGTTATTGGATTATTTTCTAATTTTATCAATTTTTTATTGATCGACCATTCTTGTTCACAATCCAATATTGCTTTCTATAAATTCACAAAGGAAAGAAAGAAAGAAAAAAATGGAAAGGTAAAATGATTTTTCAAAAATCGGAAAAAAACATCGTTATACATACATGAAAATATATTTTAGCATCTGTTTCGAAACGTTTTTTAATCGGATAACATTCAATGACAAAATGATTATTTGATAGATTTTGATTTCGTTTTTTATTTATAAATACAGTTTCCATAAATACGATTGAACATTTATAATAATGATCAAAAAATTTGGATAATTTTCGCATTATTTGTCGTATTTCAATCCAACATTCTTGTTCAGCATCTAAACTATATTTTGCTGAATGATTTTTCGAAACAATCATACAAACATTATCGATCAATGGTCGGTATGGTGTTAATGTAACATAACAATGTTGTGATGATTGTTCATGGAATTTCAACACTAAATGACGAATCATTTTATTTTCCAAACACCAATCACATTTACGATCATTATCATTATTTGAACTTCCAGTTGTAAAACGAATTCGATCAAAACCAGTAAAATCAAATTTAGCTTTTTTCTTATTCTTGCCAACATTTCCTTCATATTCATCATCGGCAGAACGTATTTTCGATGTTGTTGCAACAAAACGCATTGCTTCTTCACGTGCGGTAATTGTTTTTGTTTTTAGATATAATTCTTTTACCGTCATTGAATCTTCAGTTTTTCTATCCTTTTCTTGAACGGTTTTATTTACATATTTTACCTGTGTAGTGGATTTTCTACGTTTCAATTGATCAATTTTTGTTCTCAATTCATTGGCCAATTCACTATTGCCAAGCATTTCTGCTTTTAACATTTTTGCATTCAATGAATTCAATTCAGCATCACTAACACATTGTTCATCTTCTTCGGATTCTTCTTTTTCGTTGTTTTCATCTTGAGCTTTGTGAATTCTCCGTTGCAATTCTTCAGGATCATCAATAAATCGTTTGTTAATATCATCACGAAAATAGCTATTCAATTCACGTGAATATCGAATTTGTTGCTCTTTGTTTACAATTTCTTCTTTGTATTTATCCGCTGCAGTTTGCTGTTTTGTTGAATTATTTTTCGAAGTTTTCGATATAAAATCAAATAAATCTTCGCTTTGATCATTGGCAGATTCTTTAGTGGTTTTCGGTGAATATTTTGGATTGGAGCTGACTTGATCGTCATCACCATCACATCCTGCTTCGGTCCAAACAATTTGAGCATCATCAGAATCAGAATCTGAAGATTTTTTGCTATGTTTTTTTGATTTTTTCGATTTACTTTTATGTTTATGTTTACCCATTTTTTATTTTGAAATTGAAAAATTCAGACAAATTTTAAGCATTTCAACCCGAATAGCTAACAAATGTTAAAATAGTCAAATATCGATAGTTTTCAACAATCGATACTCACTCGATTTTCAACGTGTGCAGTTCTTCCTTTTCGTGTTTGGGCCTGTGTGCGTGTGTTTGGCTTGTTTATTTTTTCTTCAATTCTTGCATTGTGAATTCTAATTTAGTGTTTCAAAAATGCCTGGTTTCAAAAATAAATCTTTGATTATCGATGGTCGTGGTCATCTTCTTGGTCGACTAGCCGCTATTGTTGCCAAAACATTATTGCAAGGACAAAAAGTTGTCGTTGTCCGTTGTGAAGGTATCAATATTTCGGGTAGTTTCTATCGAAACAAGCTGAAATATTTAGCATTTTTACGTAAAAAATGTAATGTAAATCCAGCTCGTGGTCCGTATCATTTCCGTGCACCATCAAAAATTTTCTGGCGTGTTGTTCGTGGTATGTTGCCGCATAAAACTAAACGTGGTGATTTGGCACTCGAACGACTTCGTGTTGTTGAAGGTATTCCACCACCGTTCGACAAGAAAAAACGTATGGTTGTACCGGCTGCATTACGTATTCTTCGTCTAAATCCACGACGTAAATATTGTTCATTGGGAAGACTTTCACATGAAGTTGGTTGGAAATATCAAAAAGTTATCGAAACATTGGAAATGAAACGAAAAGCTAAAGCTGCTTTACATCATAATCGTAAATTGACCGAATCGAAACTTCGTTTACAAGCAAAGAAATTGGTAGCCGATAGAACTAAGGCTTTGCGTGAAGTTATCACTTCTTATGGTTATGAAGTTTGATAATTGAATTTTCTTTTTTTAAAAATAAAAATTGATTTTTTTCAAATTAAAACAGAATCTTGTCATTTTTCTTTTTTTGAAAATTTGTTTATTTGCAAAATAAGGTTACGAAAGAAAAACAAAAAATTTAAGATGTTTCCATAGCCACCGATTCTTCCGTATGTTTTCCTTTAGCTTTTCCTTCGGTAATACGTTTACCGGCAGCACGCCTATCAAGAATCTTTTTACGATCTTTATCCATTTTCAATTTGACAATCAAAACCTATTTTTTGAAACAAAAAAGAGAATCAGAATCAAAATCCCAAATGAATGAACGAATGAAAATGACAAAATACCTTTGATGGATGAATACCAACATAAACAGTAGCACCGTTTGCTTTTTCACGTTGAACACGTTCAATATATACAACATATTTTGAACGATAAACGCTAACAACTTTACCGAATTGTGTTCCTTTAAAATGACCACGAACAACCTTTTACATTAAAGTATTGACACAGAATACGGTTATAATAACAGAATATTGTTTCTCAGTAATAAACAAACATACCTGAACTTCATCATCTTTTCGAATGGGCATCGATCGAACACCATATTTTTGTCGTAAATCTTTGCTCAATGGTGAACTCATAATCCGGCGACGAATATGAGATGGTGCATTAAAATGACGACTTCGGGCCTTTCTTCTTGAAGAAGAAATCAATTTATTCATTTTAGCCATTTTTTTCTGATCCAAAAACAAAAAATTTGTCGAAATCCAAATTAAATTGACAAAAAAAATGAATCGAAACAAAACGAAAAAAACATGTGCCACACACTCACACACACAGGCGAAAAGGAAGTCAGCGTTTTTCTTTATTCAACACAAAACAATGCTGCACATGCTCAACATTGTTTGCTTGATGTGGGACTATTTATAAACAACGTGTTTGCTCGTATTATACATGAAAAGTAAATTTTTTTTTTTTTTTGGTTACATCATTTTTGAATAAACCTTGCTGTGAATCAGCATAAAATTTTCTTTTTGTGTTTTTGGCTTGTTTATTTCATTTGTCATCAAAAAAAAAAAACGAAAAATTTTGATTTTTCATTTGAAAATTTTAAATTTGAAAAAAGCGAAAACGAAAAAAAATGGTTCTTGAAAGTACAATTGTCTGGTGAGTTTTCCAAAAATTTTTGATGATGATTTGATTGAATCCATTTTTGTTTTGTTTGTTTTTTTCTACAGCGTTGATAATAGTGAATTTATGCGTAATGGTGATTTTGTACCATCACGGCTACAAGCACAACAAGATGCTGTATCACTTGTTTGTCATGCTAAACTACGATCAAATCCGGAAAATAATGTAGCATTATTAACAATGGGTGGTAATCCACAAGTATTAACCACTTTGACTACCGATGTTGGACGTATTCTTGGTAAATTACATCAAGTTCAAGTGAATGGAGAGGCAAATTTTTTGACCGGTATTAAAATTGCTCATCTTGCATTGAAACATCGTCAAGGGAAAAATCATAAAATGCGTATCGTTGCATTTGTTGGATCACCGGTTCAAACTGATGAAAAAGAATTGACAAAAATAGCCAAAAAACTTAAAAAAGAAAAAGTTAATGTTGATATTGTTAATTTTGGCGAAGAAATGTCGAATACTGATAAACTATATGCATTTATCAAAGTATTGGATGGTACATCATCACATATGGTAACAGTACCATCTGGTTCATTATTATCGGATGCATTATTCAGTTCACCAGTAATACTTGGTGAAGATGGTTCAGGTGCAGCTGGTCTTGGTGGTACTGGTTTTGAATTCGGTATCGATCCTAATGAAGATCCAGAATTAGCATTAGCATTAAGAGTTTCAATGGAAGAACAACGTCAACGACAAGAAGAAGAAGCAAGACAAGCTGCAGTACCATCAGCATCAACTGAACAACCGCAACAACAACAACAATCATCTTCAGGTGAATCTAGTAAAACAGCCACAGCTACAACTCCCACCACCACCACCACCACTACTGCAACCACCCCTACAGGATCATCAAGTAATGATGTTCCTAAAAGCGATACAAAAAATTCAAGTAACAAACCGGCAACAACCAAACCAAGTACAACTATTGGCGGTACTAGTGAAGAAGAAATGTTGGAAAAAGCATTGGCCATGTCTTTAGAACCAATTGATCCTTCAGATCCACCGGTTGATATTGCACGTATGACTGAAGATGAACAAATTGAATATGCAATGCAAATGAGTTTAGAAGCAGCATCTCAATCACAATCTCAATCATCATCTTCCACCAAAAAAGATGATAAAAATGATAAGAAAAAAGATGATAAAAAAGAAGATAATAAAGATGAACCAATGGATACGGATGATTCGAATGATAAAAAATGAACAATGGATTTTTCTTCATTCTTTGAAAACAAAAAAAAAATTTTTGTATCTAAGTAAAATGTCTAAGTAAAATTGATTTGAATTTTTTTCTCTTTTAAATAAAGAATTTCCAATTTTGAAAATTTTTTTGTTTTGTTTTTATTTACTGGGTCACCAGATGGTGCTGAAAGACAGTAGAATTCTGCAAAAAGATTCGAATTCGAAAATATGTTGATCATTTTAGAAATTGTTTATTTTCGAAATTCAATTCATTTTTTGTTTTCTGTTTTGTTTTTTTTTCTGATTAAATCACCACCATTATTGATGATAATCTGGAATTGAAACAATTGGAGAAAAAATCATTTGAAGTGATCGATATGCTTTTCTATCATCAGGTTTTTTATCAGTATTGGTGGTGAATCAACTTTGTTTTGGTTTTATTTGTCATCTTTTTTTGGTTTTGTTTTGTTTTGTGACTCTACACACATTTTGAGCATCAATCAGCTAAATAATCAACAACAACAAAAAAACATCTACACCATTATTATCGTTGTTTGAACGTCATGATGATGATGATCATCATCATGTGAGTAAATATGACTAACTAAATCCAATCTATATTATATGGCATTCATGTCAAACACACACATATATGCATGAAATTTACTGTATAAATGTTATTGGTTACCAAGGAAACATTAATGTATTTTTTTTTATACATTTAGGATTTGTTTTCTGTTCATCATGAATGAATGAATCAATCAATGAGGAAGCGATCATAAATGATAATTGAGGGTGAGTTATTGTGAGTTTGGTTTATTCTTTCACACATCTTTTTTTTTCTCTTTTCTCAAAAGCAGAAAATTTTGTTTTTTTTCTTCTTTCGTTCTTGCTTGATTGATTTAACTTAAACTGGACTTGGCTAGATCTTTCTATCTCTCTTTTTTCTTGTTCAACTGAATTTCATTCATCTATCCAGCTTTCATATATATGAACTATTGTACATTACATTCTGCTTGCCCAACAACAACAACAACAACAAATGGCTGACATGTTTGTTTGTAAATAGAAATCACATGATCCATGGACAGTAACAACAAATACAACAACAACAACAACAACATTAATATTTGTGAAATGGCTCCCACCATTTCATTTTCATTCATGTCCTTCGCCTTTTCTTCATCTTTCTATCTATATATTTTGTGTGTATGTATAAAATATATAGAATTGAAACTTTTTTTCAGAAAAAAAAAGATATATATTCAGCCTGCTAGCATCAAAAAAGGTGGTATGATCATCATCATCATCATCAAAAGAGAAAAAGAGTAACAGAGATTTGGATTTTCTACACTAAATTTAATGATGGTGTTATTTTTTTTGAAGAGTAAAAAAAAGAAAAAGAAAAATAGAAATTTCAAAAAGCCATCCGAACAACAGATAATTGTTTATATATGAAGAACGCATGCGTTCATCAGCTGATCATTGTTTTGAATCTCTTTTTTTCTCTTTCTTTTTTTTGTTTCTCTTTTTTCTTGTCTTCCTCCCTCCCTCCCTCTTTCCTTCTTTTTGTTGTCTTCAGTTTAGCTATCTTTTTCACATTTAAATGTTGTTGTTGTTGTTGTTTAATGAATGTAAACAAAACAAAAAAAAAATATGAATAACAACAACAACAACAAAACTTGTATTTTTTTTACTTGCAATCCTCTTTGAAAATATTATTATTATTTACGTTCATGCGTAAGCGCAATCTATTTGATTTTTGGATATTATTATTATTATTATTATTTGATGGATCGCCATCATCACACTCTCTTTTAATTCTCAAGATTTATTACTTTTGTTAATCAAATTTTCATCATTGTTTTATTCTTTGAACATTGAAAACAAACAAAGAATTTGCTTTTCAAGAAAATAATTGAAAAAAACTGAACAAACATCAAAATCAGATTCTGATTTCAATTCTGATTCAACAAACACATCCGTTGATTTGACATATTATTGCATCAGGATTCAATGCTATTTTTCTGTGTACCCGTGTGTGTCAGTGTTATTCTCATTGTTAAAGTGTGTTACTTTTCTTTCATATTCAAATCACAGGTTAGAAATTTGATATAATTTGGTCTTCATCATTCATCATCCATCATTCAACAAACACAGCAACAAAAACTGTATATTGTATCTTGTTCACTCGGGAAAAACAACAGTCATTTTTCAAATCAAGAATCCAGAAGAAAACAAACCAACAAAAACGGTAAGTGTAGTGATTTTTTTTATTGGATCACCATTGTTTCATTTAATTTGATCAAACACACAATACCTTTACCTAAAGATTTAAGATTTTTTTCTTTTCTTTTTTTTTGATTCATTTTTCTCACACTTACTTAGACATTGAGCAAAAGTGAGAGAAACAGAGAGGGGGATACAGCTATTTTTTTTATTGCAAAAAAAAGAAAACCATCATCCTCATCATCATCATCATTAACCAATATACAACACTTGTTCTCCTTGTATGTGTTGCTATAGGCTTTCGAAGGCTAATAATGATTGTTGTTGTTGTTGAATAAGACATTTTTCTCTTTTTTTTTGTTGTTGCTGCTGAAAAAAAACTAAATTTCGAAATTCAGATCATTTCAGATTGTAAAACCATCAACATTGTTCTATGTTTTCAATAATAATATATAGTGTATGTCCACATTCTGTTCACAGTGTTGTTGTTGTTATTGTCCATTTCATCGTTACTTTGGATGCTGATGATGACGATAAATGATAAAATATATGACATATCAATGTTGTTTTGATCAAATGTTATTGTTTTTTGTGTGTGTGAAACACCTATAGAAACACCCATTTTTCTGATGATGATGATGATAATAAACAAATTGTCATGACAATTATTATCATATAAATCAGTGTTGTGGTTGTCATCGGAAACCCTCATCAAATCATCATTATCATCATCATCATCATCGTGATCAGTAGCCTGTTATTTTTGGCTTAGAAACTAAAAAACCAAAACAAAAATAATAATTCATCATCTGTATGATCTTCATTGTTTTTTTTATTATTACCTCAATTTTTTTGTTCAAGGAAAAAAAATCAACTTTTTTTATTATTACATTTTTTTCTGGTTTTTAATTTTTTTGGTCAAAACATTTCCCTATTTATTATTACAAGGATATTGTTTTTTTTATGATTGACCAGATTTGTTGTTGTGCTTAAATTATTGAAGGTAATGATGTTTGATTTTAATAGTATTTGTTTGTTTGTTTTACCTCATTTTATCTTGAATGACAATGAAATAATCTCTAGGAAAATTAACTCATTTCATTCAATAGTTTTAGTTGTAATATTTGATAATCATTTGTTTGTTTGTTCGATGTGATGATAAATGTCGTTGATTGTCGTTTTCTGGATTTTCCATTGGATTTAAATTTTCAAAAAGTAAAATGTCGTTACATTTTTTCCCAATATTTTGATAGTCAATGAATTTCATTATACAATTAAAAAAAAGCCTTGTTGTACTTTTTTTGAAAAAAAACATCCTTGATAAAAAGATTCAATGATTTGATGATCATTTCCATCATATTTCCAATATTCAACAGGTGATTCAAGTATTTATCGTTGAATTCTTTCCTATAGATGAATTTTATCAATTTCATCAGTTCCAAATAATGATTCACCACATTTGAAAATCTTCTTCCTTTATGGATCATTTCCATTTGCTTTTCATAATCATCGGGATTTTTTTCTCCAAAAAAATAAAAAATATCATTTTAAATCGACTCTCAATTTGAGTTTTTTTTTTGATATAAAATTTCTTTAAATTTTAACAACAACAACAACAAAAAAAACCAGGTCGCTCAGGACATTTTTGTTTCCGTTTCGTTTACTTTCATTGAATCGATTGTTGTATTTTTTTTCGTTTGTTTGTGAAATAAAAAATCTAGATAATGGAAATTGTCATCAATCCGAAATAAAAAAATGTTCCCCATAATGATGATGATGACATCAACAATCGACACCAACACACAAAATCTATTAATCAAGGGAAAACAATAGATTTTTGTGTGTATATAGGATTATTATTACTTTTCTGACCACCATTATCATCATTATGATGATTAGTTTTAGCTGAAAAAAAATGCAATTTTTTTTTGTTGTTAATATCCACACACATCATGATTCGATGACCATTACCATGCATCGTTAAATTATTATTATTGCAAATCGATTTTTCGATTTTTCTGTTTTTTGTTAATTGTAATTATCATATTGAACAGCAACAACAGCAAAAAAAAACATGTTCAATTGGTCTTTGAAGGTGAAACATTTATGCATGTTCATAAAAATGACAATGATGGATCAAAAAATATACATTTCTTATGAGTAGTATTGTCTTTTTTTAAATGTGTATTTAAAAACGACCCGTTGTATTCCAACCTTGTGTGATTTTTTTTCGTTCGTTCGTTGATGCATTTCATATTTAATGAAAAAAAATTTTTCATTTCCCGTTCTATTTTCTATTCTCTTCTCATTCTCTCTCTCTCTCTCTCTCTTTCATTCAATCATTCATTCATGATTTGAATGAAACAAGCACACACACACTTTCGTTTTCATCCAAAAAAAAAACATCAGTGTGAGAGAAATCAGTTGGATTGGATCAACAATATTACAATGTGGTTATATGTCCTAGTGGCCTACTAATATATATTCATTATTGATGATATGATGATGATAGTTTTCTTAGTGTTTTCTCTTTCTCTTTCACTGTTTACCATCTTAGATTAGCTCGTAAGAGAAAGAGAAAATTGAGTGGAAAAAAAGAGTTAGTTTGACCAGTATATACTTGTTGTTGTTGTTAACATTCCATATCTTCAAATTTTTTTTTCTTGTTGAAAAAAATACTGCCGTGTTCCTGAAATGATAATGATGGATTTGTAAGAAAAGAGTGAGAGAGGGAGCTTTCTTTAATCAAAGATCGAAATTATGTTTGAATTTCTTTCCCTTTTTTTTCTCAACAAAATAGAAGAAGAAGAAATTTCCACAATTCAATGGCAGACATTTGGATTTCTAGTTTCTAACAAGTTTCGATTCAATGCATTTTTTTTTGTAGATTAATTTTTCTTTCAATGTCCGTATTTTTCTAATAGAAGAAATTATCCTTAATGATAATCATCATTAGTTGTATCCAGTTGACACTTGTTGCTCGTGATTTTTTTGTACAAGATCACGCGTTCCACAATTGCACAATCTTGATCCACTTGATTCATTGATCCATTTGATTAAATTTCGTCACATTTTGGTTTAATTTAGAATTGAAATAAAAAAATTCAATCAAACTTTGTGTGTGTATTGGTGTGTACCATTCGACATATGTCTTTTATAATATTCGAAATGATATCAACAACAAATAAAAATAAAGATCATAAGTAAAGCATATGATTTTGTTTGTTTGTTTTCAAAACAACAAAATCACACATAAAGATTATGATCGTTAAAAAAATGTGATTATGATTTTGATTGTATGATATCATTTTATCGTACAATTTGAAATTATGCAAACTGGTAATAGTCACATATAATAGTCATTATTATGTGTAGTCTATATATGTAGTTTGATACGATAAAAATCTTGTGATGAATTATTTCATGATCATGTTTAAATCAATGTTTAATCATTTGAATTTGGATTGAAAGGATTGAATGTGTTTTTTCTTTATGAAATGGAATGATATTTCCAAAATTTATTTCATTGATTTTCTTTTCTTTTCTTTTGTTATAGGAGATTGATCTTTTAAATTTGAACAACAAAAAAAAAATTTCAATATTGTTTTCAACATCAACAACACACATGAAAAAAAACCATTGTAATGATCAACGAAACAAATAAAAAATCCATATTGGAACATTCATTGTCTCCAACATCAAAATTTCCAAATCATCATCATCATCATTTTGATCATTCAAAAAAATCCTTATTCCATATAATCGATAATATTAATAACAACAACAACAACAATGATAATGAAGAATCATTAATAATCATGAATAATAAATGTCATAATGAAATGTCTATCGATTCTAATGGAGAAAAATCAATCAATCATCATCATCATCATCAAAATCATGATAATCAGCAACAACAAAAATCATCCATATCCGATAATAAAACATTGGATTTATTTAACAAACAAACAAAGAATGAGTTGAATGAATCAGTGTCATCATCATCATCCACAATATCATTAACGAAACATGAATCTCAAAATGATTCATTATCAAGTAAGTTTTATTATTTTTTAATCGGTGTGTGTGTGTTACTGCCCTCATGACAATGATGATGTTTGAGTAGTTTGATGATGATTGGGTACATTAGTTACTTAACAACAACAACAAAAGAAAAGAAAAACAAATTGATTGTTTGTTTCGAACAAATCTTTGTTTATGTTGGCAACCAGAATTTTATAAAGTTTATTTACCTGATGATGATGATGAATATATCTTTTTTCCTATATAGTTTTTTAGATAATTTTTTCGTTTTTTTTTTGGCGCTTGCGTTTAGAATTGCATTTAACTAACTAAAAGCGAATGGAATCACGTGCATTATCGTGCCTTGTCATTTTTTTTCTTCTTTTGATCTGATGATAAATCCTGTGTTAGTCATGATTATTATTATTCAATGTTTAAGGATTTTATTTTTAGCTTAAATTTAAAGAAAAAAAGAGCACACGCGCGTCAAATTCTGGTGAAGAAAAAAAAACATCAATGGCCTTCATCATCGGTATAAGATTGATGAAATGAAAAACTCAAGATCAAAAAAAAAAAATCAAATTCATGAATCTTGATTCAAACAAAAATCATGTGCCATAAGGATCCATGTTTAATTTGCTGGTTGTGGTTAATATAGCTCAACCCGATAGTTGTTTTATGTTTGTATCAACGACCTCGTGATATACATGTGTGTGTGTGTGTGACTATACGGGTGTTCAGTCACATTATCATTATTTTCATTATATGATAAAATAAAATGACAGATCATAAACACCATTTTAAATTGATAGTATGGAATACAATGATCTAAAATCATTTTTCGAAACACATACACACACAGTGAAAACCAAAAAAAAAGGGATCTATGAACCAACGGATTGTGTTTGCTATTTTTTCAAAATGCATACATCACTTCTGAATTTTTTTATTTTTGGTTTTTTTTTTTGTTCATGAGGAGTTTTTTCGTTTTTAAGCTCTATATAAATTGATTACTCAAAAAAAAAGAAGAAAAAAGAAAAAAAATACATTGGTTCACTAACCCAACTGGTATAATAATTTGGCACTGTTGGTTTTGATAATAAATGAATGTGTGATATATTTATTACAAAAAAAAAATACAGGCATGCTATGCATCGTACACTATTGCATTGTCATTCAATTATACATGGATGTAATGTGATGTTCTTGTTTTTCTTGTTTTGTTGTTTTTTCCTAGGAAAAATTAAATCATTTTTTTTTGCGTTGATTTTTTGCGTTAATCATTATTATTATTATTTGTTATTGCTATTGTTTTTGTCATTATTGCATCAGTCGTTATTATTTGTCATCTAATCTGTTCAAAGTACTTCATTTTTGTTTTTTCTTTAATCGGGAATCGTTAGAATATTCTGCGGAAAAAACTGATCACTTTTTTTTGTCGAATTATAATCATCATTTTAATCATGATAATTTTTGGAGTTCAAAGTTTTACATGGAATTTCAAACAAGAAAAAAAACGCCAATATCATTGGTAATAATAATAAATTTTCTGGTCTCTGCCAATGATCTCTTTTCAATGTAGATGTAATATTGTTTCAGAACATCATCTTATACAACCAAAAGAAAGAAAAGATGATGCGTCCCTCTTTTATCACAATTTTTTGTGTAACTTATTGATTTTCACTTTTTATTGTTGTTGTTGTTGGCTGTCATATATTGAACTCAGCACAAACATCAATCATTCAAGAATGATTTTAACCAAAAAAAATATATATTGTACTTTTTTTTAGATACTTTGTTAATAATATTAGAATCTTATAAACTGTTGAGTAAAATGCTGTTTGAAAACAACAACAACAGCAAAAACAATTTGTTTGTTTTCAATGAGGGTGGAGGATTGTTGTTGTTGTTGTTATTGTTATCATTGGCCTGATCAATATATATTGATCAGATGGAATATTATTTCATAATAATAATCATTATTTATAAATAACAGAAATAAACATGATTAGAAACAATGAACTTTAATTTGTCATATCTGTAAATGATGTAATCATATCAGCAAAGGTATTTATACCTTTAGATTTTTCAAATAAATAAAAAAAAATGATTGAAGGTCAAAATTGCCAAACATTATCCGGTTTGATTTGATTTGATTGTTTCATTGATTTTTTAGAACCATGGAATTCGTTTTTGGCAAAAAATGTTGTTTTGCTTTTTTTTCAATACTGTCTTTTGCCCCCAATTTGACAAATACCATATCGTAATGGAATTGCAAAAAAAAAATTTTGTTCACAAATAAACTTTAATGATCCAAATTGTACCTTGTACATAGGATATTTCGAAATATATTTTCTTTCTTTTTGTGTAAAAAAAAATCCTGTAAGCATCATAAGATGTTTGTTTTCTTTTTTTTGTTTATTGTTATTGTCGCCAATAAGTCTAAATTGACGATTCTATTGTTATTTTTTATATTAGAGATAATATTATCAAACGATGAGATTAGCAAAAAATTTAAAGTCCAATCCGAACAGGATGTTGATGTGACAACAATTCTTGGGCAATCAAATTTTTTATTATTATAATTTTCTTATGTTATTAAGAATTTCCAATTGGTTTTTTTTTGTTTAAAATGTGTGTTGCGATGGATACAAAAAGATAAAGTTCATTATTTGATTGATGTAATCATCGTATGTAATTAGCGTAAATAACCTATGTGTTTGTTGTAAAAAAAAATCGATTTACGAACTGTAAATGTGCAAGTTGTTTGCTCGAAAACGAAACCAAACAAAAATCGTATTGAAATTAGATACAAATATCACCACATGGTACTGGTATCATGATGATGTTGATGATTTTATTTAACCAAGAAAAAAAAAATAATCTCATGCTTTGATCAATCGTTCAGCACCAGAGATCGGTTAATCACGTTGATGATATAGTGATGCAATACATATGTTGTTGTTGTTCATATCATGAGGATAATATCTTTTCTTTTTCTTTTTTTTTTTTTGACAACCCTCCCTCCTTATTCGAAACCAAAAAACAAAGTACATTGAAGGTGAGGGAGGATTAACTTTCAACAGATTTTATTTAAATGATGATGATGATAATCGGTACCAAAGAATGAGTTTTTTGGTCTCTTTAGAAAAAAAAATTTCCAAATAATAATTGCACTTTTTTTTAACGAAAATAAGTAAATATACAGATGTAGAATTCTAACCAAAGGATCCTTACAAAAGGATATCTATACACATACATCACACCGCTACTTTATTGATCATTTGTCAAATGTATCATATGAAAAGATGCTGTTGGTTTGGTATTTTCAATATATAGAAAAAGCTAGCATCCAAAAACTCACTATATATGTTTGTCTTCACTATAAGAGTGGAGTTGTTAAAATTAGATAATTATTCCTTTTTGGAAGAACAAACAAACAAACAAAACAAAAAATTTCAATCATTAAACAAACTGACAGCGACTAATCAAGTCGATTTGAGAAACAAAAAACTATTACTTTGAAAATCATCATCATCATTTGATTCTCATCATCATTGACTGATTATCATCAACATTGAATTTTTCATTTCATATTTTACATTTTTTTTAACACTGTTGCTAACCTGTTGACCCGTTGTGATATTATAAAGTTGTTGTTTTTTTTGTTTTCAATTTCATAATTTGTGTGTTTTTTTTTTGATATCAAATAAATGAATATTATGATATAAATGATGCTATTTTCGGTGGTGATGAATAACACAGACAACAACAACAACAAAGATTTCATTTAAAATAGCCAAATCATCAACATTATAATCATATATAGTAGACAAGAAAAAAAAGGAAAAACAAACCCTTCAGTGAATAACAGGTTGTCAAATTGTTTAATTTTTTCTTGTTTTTCTTGTTGAAAAAAAAATATTATTAACCCTGTTCAATATATTGATGATATATAATGTATGAAAAGCATTTAATCATCAATATTTTGATTGATTATCAAATCCATGATAATATAATGATGATTATGAATTTGTCAAATGAAAATTTTGATGATGAACTTAATTTTAATTCTAAATTAACACCATTTATGATTGATGCTGGTGTTGGTTAGTTATAAATCTTTTTTCGTTTTTTGTTTCTCCATTTGAATATCATCAGTGTCGTTTCAACAAAATTGAATTTTCTTTTTTTTTCAAAATTGTACCTTTTTCTATAGTGATTTGCAATCTAGTCAAAATTTTTTTTTTAAATCATCATCATCAATGTGTTGTTTATATCTGAAATTGTGAGATTATTAATTTGACAATAAAAATTTTCTTTTTGTTAATGAGGTAATTGATTGTGATTTATTTTATGGAGGTTTTAACGTTTGGAAATGATATTTTGTTTTTGACTGTTTGCAATCATTTATGATTAAAATTTTTGTAATTAATTTTCTTTTTCTTTTTTTTCTTTCTCCCTTCTAATCTAGATGATAATCTGATAACACTTGATCAATTATCGTCAATATTAAAAAACGATAATCATACAAAACAATTTCAAACAATCATTACAACACAAAGTGATCATTCATATTCAACAAAATCAAAAACTAAAACAATAAAAAATCATCAATCATCGACAACCAAAACAAGAAAACGAAAACAAAAAAAAGAAATTATCAATGATGATCAAGATAATTGTCTGAAGAATATTATATTGAATAATAATACATCCGAAAAGATTACTATCGTTCCAATTAAAGTTGATTTACATCACGATTCAACAAAGATATTATTTTTAAACGAATTAGATTCTAATCATTGTATTTCCCTTGATAATAAACAACAACAACAATTATTATTACAATCATCAAAAATGGCAAGAGAAAATCATCCAGTAAATGCTGCTAATCATATGGCGACAATTTTAAATAACAACAACAACAACAACAATTGTAAAAGTAGTAGTAATAGTAATGAACAGAAAAACATTACTTTTGTACAGCATTATCAACAACAACAACAACAATTACAACATCCACAAACATCATCATTTGGACAAGGAAATTCATATAATTCAATGAATAATAATAATAATAATATTCATCAATTTATATCGATTGGCAATAATGGTGATGTGATTTATCAACAACAAATGTCCGAAATTAACAACAACAACAACACATCTAACAGTAATAATCAGATTAATGATGCTGTCTTTTCATTTGATGATCTAAATTCTCCGTCCTCATTTATCGCATCAAATAATCATTCGTTACCTCCAGTTCAGACTATTTTAAATAACAATAGTAGTAGCAACAATAGTGGTGGTGGTGGTGGTTATAATAATCAGCAAAATTATCAATTAACCATTCAGGATTTCAATACGGAAATGTTCAATTCTTCTCTTGATAACGGTATGAATTTCAACAGTTATGAACGAGGTAAATTTACACCCCTTTTCTAGTTGAATTTATTCTTATCATTACTTTTTTTTTTGTTCAATATAGATCCGTTTCTGGAAGATATTGATTTGCCAAATGAAAAATATCTGCTATATGGATGTTTCACTTCAGATGAAGATAATTGTAATCAACAGATCTCACCATTATTGCCATCATCATTATCACCATCATCCCCATCATTAAACACATTGAATGGTCATGATCTCTTTAGTTCTGATTTGAATATTATGCCTAACCAATCGAATGTACTTTCATCTTCTTTTTATGATCAATCATTTACCTCGGATCCATTAATGGCTCATGATAATTGTAACAAAGATGAACAAATTATTCTACCCGAATCATCTATTAATATTAATGAATTATCGAATTTCGGTAATAATGAATATATTGAACTTGATTCGGATTTTAAAAACGATAGCTATTTTGGAAGTAAAAAACCAAAATTAATGAATGGTAATTCCAAACATTTGCAAGAAATGACATTGACACAATATAATTCATTGGAAATTTCGGTCGATAATCATAAAAATAATTACTGTTATAATGGAATCTGGCCCAATACAGATTTCGAGTTGCCACCGGTTAATTTCAATTCTAATCAACATTCAAAAGTTTTGATGGCCAGTAATGATATTGCAACAGAAAATCGTAATCGATTAAAACGACCATATCCATTCGGTGATGATTCGGTTCTATTTGGTTCTCAAAAAATTCAACAACAACAACAACCAAATCTAATGATGCAATCCACAAATGATACCTCATCAATAAATGATAAAGGATCTTTTGTGATTCAAGACAATACAATCAATCAGCCATTACCTCAGCCACAGTACTCTAGTCCTAATCTAAAAGGACAACAGTCTCATAATAATATTGCTCCGTTGAATGAAAATAGACAAACAATCAATATGATTAATCATTCACAAATTAATGGCCCAATTGTTCAGAATAATCTGGTTGCAAACAATCTAGTCTCGTTATATCAAAATAATAATAACAATATCAACAATCAAAATGCTACGAGCCGAAATTCAAATGGAATTCATTTGTTTCAAAACATTTCTCAACCAAACACATCGATTACTTTTCCATCAACAACAACGACGACAATTCCATCTTTTCCGAATAGAACTGTTTGGTCTGGAAGTAATTCCAAATCTAAAGAATCTTGTCATACACAGATGATAACTGGATCATCGAATATTAATAATAATAATGATGGTAGCATTGTTGCTACAATGATCAATTCGACCAATAATCGTATTCGTAATGATTCAGTGAGCACTGATATTTCTGATGAAGGATTTGCAAGCCATTCGGAAAATGATTCCGATGACAATTCGGATAATAATTCGGAAATGCTAAACACCATAAATGAACATAATAATAATGATCATAGATTGTCAATGGTCGATACTAATATTGATATTGATCAAAATCGAATGAACAACATTGTTAATGTTGATTGCAAAAAAGAAGAAGGCATTTATGACGTAAATGGTATTATTCAAATAGAATCGAAAGAAATATGCGAAAATAATGTTTGGATCAATGATGAGAATGATCTTCATTCAAAAGCATCAAATTCGAGCGTTCAGGCCAAAAATTCATTATCTATTGATGAAAATGATTATTCAGAAGATGATGATGATGATGATGAATCTTTTTTTGGTGATTATAATAATTCCGATCTATTGAATGCAACCATTTCCGATGATGTCAACAATAAATGGTCATTGAGAATGGGCCGATCACGTAAAGGTCATGATAAACGATACTTTTGGCAATATAATGTTCAATCTAAAGGTCCAAAAGGCCCTCGACAACATAGACCACTTGATGACAATGAAGATGATGATCCACACGTTTTGAAAGAGACTACAGACCCGGTATTTGCACCGGATTGTCAAATTGAAGGTGTCAAACATTCCGGTAAAGCACGAAAAGGTGATGGCAATGATTTAACAGCTAATCCAACTAAATTACTCAAGATTGGTCTTGAACTGAAAAAACTAGGCAAAATATTGAATGGATTGACACCTGTTACGGAAGTACCGGCAAATTTTCGTAATAAGTCTCGAAAAGAAAAGAATAAACTTGCATCAAGAGCATGTCGGCTAAAGAAGAAAGCACAACATGAGGCTAATAAAATCAAGCTTCATGGCTTGCATCGTGAGCACGGACGATTGAACAAAAAAATCAAACATATTCGTCATCTGATTGAAATGGCCTTACGATTTAAAGAGATAGGGCAACCACAAATTTGCAACTTTTCCGGTCAATTTCAATGTCGAATCACATCGATATCAGATATACCATTTATATTGCAAAAAATTAAAGCCAACAATCAGATCGATATGGAAATTGCTGGCAAAACAGCCGATTTTGTAAATCAAATCTTAGATAATGTTACACAAGGCATTACTGATGGTGGACTTGATAATTATTAATCAACTTTTCTTATTTAAAAAGATAGTCATTCGTTAATCGATCCATTCTTTTTTTGGTTTCACACGACTATTATCATTATTACATTTATCATCACTATTATTACTACTACTAATCTTCATAATCATTAATCCACGAAAACGATATTACGAATCGATTAAAGTGAGTGACAAAAATTATTAATCTACGAAGATTTTGGACAACCGATTGATGAAACAGAAACCGTGATATTGTTCCATTTTTTTTATTCTCTTATTATTATATACGTTCATCATATTCATTGATTTACTTGAATATTTTCTAATCATCAATAATCCACAACTTCATTACAATGGATAATTACATAGCTTTTGCCTCTACACACACACACACATGATCTAATGTTCATCTGGTATCATCATAATGATGAAACGAAAATTTCCCTTCAAAAAAAAATTTAAAAAAAAAATAGAAAGACTTCATCATTGTGATACGAGAATCAGGAATTTTTTTTTCATTCAATGATTTCTCTCGTTCATTCATTCATTCATATGAATTTTTTTTTAAAATCCGATTTATGAAAACAGAATTCTTAATTGCAGCAAATGCATCCCAAAAAATTTCATTCATGATGCCAGTCTGATATGATTGACAGTTCCAGTTAATTTCAACGCTATCTACTTCTCATTTTTCTGTCCAGTGAATTTTTTTTCAGTTTGATGTCCAAATCAGTTATGTTTAACGAATAATAATTATTATATACGCAATATATACACACACAGAGAGCAGGGCATTATTGTATTTGACATTTAGGTTATTTCTTTTCTTTTCTTCTTTTTTTTTGTTGCTACATTCTTTTCACTTCCTCATTTTTCCGACTGTGATATTTATTTTTTTTTATTCTTTTTTTGTGCAAATCCTTAATCTTTCTCTCCTCTTTCTTTTTTTTCGTTTACCTGCAATTATATTCATTAATCAACGTTTTCTTTATTGTTCCACATACACACACACACATAAATCACCAAAATGTTAAAAAAAACAGTAACAACCAACCAACCAACCAGCAATTTCGAAACCAACTTACATTACGAATAATAATATTTTTTTTGGCCTATTATCAAAATGAATCACCAATATATCAATATCAATCATGAATGAAATGAATGGTAATCGGATCTTCATTATTTCTTCTTCTTTTTTTCTAAAATTGTAATATTGAACAAAAGAAAAAAATTTGAATAAAAAAAAATTTTTATTTACAAATTTATGATCTTAAATATAATCTTTTCACTAATACATAGATAATACAACCAAAAAAGAAACCTAATGCAAGTATTGTTAATATTTTATCCGTCATTTCACGTCGACCATATTTAAATAATAATGTACGAGAATTTGAAATATAATTAGACATTGTACGTAATTCTTGTGATGTTTCGGTTGCTAATGCTGATGATGTTACTAATGTTTCAAGATTTTTACCGGATTTTTCTACTTCATTTGCCAATATTCGACTAACCGAATATAAATCATTCGTTATGGCTGTTGATTTATTTACCATTGTTTCATTATTTAAATTACCTTTATTATTATCGATACGATTTCTTAGATTTTTTGAATATTCAAATAATTTTACTCTTGTTTGATTATTTAATTTTTTCTGTGTATTTAAAATTGCTTTACGAATAACAACCATATTAATTTCATATTGATTACGTATTGATTCTAAATCCATTTGCATATGATAACGAAGATCATCATCTTCAATCACTTTGACTAAATGACCAAAATCGGTTAAATCTTGTCTTACATTATTCATACGTGTTGATAATTCCGAATTCAATTTGTTTAATGTTTGTATATCGCTATCACATTCGGAAATTTGCTGTTTGGATCGAAAAAAAATCAATTATAAATTGGAAATCGAATCTGATCAAAACATACCTTTAATAAGTTTTTTATACCGATATCATTTTGTGCTATACGATTTTTCAATAATTTTATTTGTAAAATTGTTTCCATTTTCAATTAATTTGATGATTAAAAAATCAGTAAAAAAAATTATCACGTTATTTACCGTCGAAAAATATTATCAACACATGCGCCACGTCAATCATCAAACGATGTATCGCGAGCGCTATATCCAAAAAATCAGCTGTGCTGTTGCTGTTGTTTTGTTTTTTACATTCCATCCAAACAGCTGTCATGATCCAAATGACGATCATTTTCCTATCATTCCGATAATCACAATGGACGGATAAAAAAAAGTGTGAATCTTTCTAGTCATCAGTATTTATCATTCTAGTCAAAATCAAAAACAATGATCTCAATCAATCGTTTAATTCAAATGATTATCGATTATAACAGTATTATTATAATTCAAATCTATTTATCATTCATTATTCATGTTTCAGCAAATGTATCATCAGTTTGCAAAACCGTGAGTAATATTTTTGAAAAATTGAAATTTTAACCATACTTGTTTTGAATCAAAAACAGACTGATTATAAATATGATTTTACCGAATGTGATGAATTCGGTGGTAAATGGCGTGTAATGGTACCGAATCAACCATCAAATCATTGTCTGGATCGATTAACATATGTTCCAACACGTATACATAATTGTTGTATGTAATCATTTTTGTATTGAATGTTCAAAGATTGCATTTTAACTTTAATATTTGAATTATAGATACTTCATGTGAAGGTGGACAATTTTTTAATAAATCATCATTGTTTTGTGAAGATTGTCAACCTGGCCATTATTCATTAAGTGGTGGTATTGTATTTGATAATTTTAAAAGTTTTCCCGATTCTCTTCCCGATGATTTTCATATAAAAACCGAATATAGAGGACATGAAAATATTGCCGCTGGCCAATGTTCAGGTGAGTTTGTTTTTGTTTTTTTGGCCATCTTTCATTCGATATAAACTTCTTTTTTTCTTGATTCATTTTATGAATAGGATGGCATGTGGACAATACTACAGGAAATTTAATTCTTCGTATCGATATGAAACAGGCAAATGCCAATAGTGGATGTATTTCAATTTTTACCTATACAGCCAAAGTAGTAAAACGTGGCCGACTCCGTTTTACTTATCATTATAAAACACCAAACAATATGCCATTATCATTATTGTTTACATTTAATTATCGCCTTTATGATGGTATAGGTGTTATTGAAAATGATATCGATACAAATATAAAATTTCCAATGACAACAATGGAAAAAAAATTTGAAACCATTGAACTACAATTACAAACACCGGGTTTATATATTTTTACCTGGAAAAGTATTGTTATCAAAAATTTTCGTAATTATTTTTCCGTTTCAAATATGATGAATTTTGATAATTATGGACAGGGTCCGATAAATTTTGATAGTTCACAAAATTCAGAAAATCCATTTCAAAATATGCTTTCGACTATTGGTATCATACGAATCGAAAGAATTATTATTGAAGGTGTTGCTTATGCTTCCGAATGTACACCATGTGAATCAGGAACATATGCACCTGAAGCTGGAATGAAAGAATGTTTACTTTGTCCACAAAACACTGCTTTTAATGGATCTGGTGCTATTCATTGTACAAAATGCAATCCAATTACAGAATTTGCTATGATCGGTTCGATTTATTGTTCGAAAAGACCAATTTGTGGTATGAATGATTTGTATATTGTACCGAAAAATGCATGCGATCCACATACTCTTAAACAAGAAATTGAATATCGATGGATTGAACCACGTATTTGTGTTGATTCTAATCATGTGTTTCCAAGAGAAAATAGCATAATCAATTGTACATTATCGAATCATACAATTGATTGTGATCTTGGTATGGAAATCAAATCCGAAACGAATGGAAAATTTTGTCAATTTTGTCCAGAAGGTTATTATCGAGATGAAAAAATTTCCGAATGTCAACCTTGTCCTCCAATGACTAATCCTTATTATGCACTTTCGATTCATCATTGGAATAATTCATTACCTGGATGGTCATCATCTCATCATTCAAACGACATTTCCAATATTGTTGATGAAGATTTGTTTACCGAAAATTCTGTCTATTTGAATTCTTATTTTAGTCGACAATGTTTTCGTGGCGATGATGATAATGTTTATAATGTTAATAATGATATGAACAATAATGATAATCCTATATTCGATACAAAAGGTGAATGTATTTCCAATACTGCATGGCAACCATTCAATGATTATATACGAACTGGAGCATCAGCACCATTGAATGCCTATCTAATTCTATCATTGATCATACCTTATTTTCGTACAAATGAACAATCTGAATTGACCTTTGATTTTGAACTAAATTGTAACAACAACGACAACAACAATGATTATGATGATGATCAATGTTTATTTATGTTTGTTGAAACTCGATCTGATGAAAGTGATTTACAATCATCAAATGAAAAAGATTTTATTCAACAAAATAAACAACAATCAGCCAATGATATTAATGCCAATCGTAGTAATAAGAAAAAATATTTTTCATTTTCTCAACAGACTATCAATCAAGTGATCAAAGAATGGACACAATCTACAGATACTCGTACTGTTTTTCGTCATCAAATTCGACGAAATATTTCTCGAACATTTAGTTGGATTTTTAAACGTACAACGAGCTTTCAATCATATGCAAAAATTTATTCATTATTATTAACTGGTTCGATTGTTGGTTCAGCTATACGTTGTCAAATTTGTCCAACAATGGATGATTCATCAATGGCTTGTATTTCCTGTCCAAATGGACAATATCTTCATCGAATTACAATGAATAAAACAATACAGAATAATTCTAATAGTCAAGAATTATTATCGATGAATAATTATCGTTGTGAAAATTGTCCAGAAAATCATATCCTAAACAATAACAATGGATTAGCTGTTGGAATTGAATCTTGTATGGCTTGTGGTGAAAATCTTCAATCAGATAATCAAACTAATATTTGTTTTAGTAATGGTTTAGTAACATTTGATCATAATGATCATTATGATCTTCGTGAACTTGAACAACCAATCATTTATAAAGGAATCAATTTGTTTACATCTGGTGGTACTCAATATATGAATATATTTAAGATTAGTTTATTTGGTCATCGTAAACATGATCCATTATCAACATGTTTGAATAATATAACTGTATTTGCTGATGATTCATCCGGTGTTCGTTCATTTATATGTCGTTCGACTATTATACCGGATGGATCGAAAATATTTTCAGCACAATCAGCTAGTTTAGGTATGTATTTGTTGAGTTGTTGTTTTGGTTGTTGTTACAAAGATTTTTTTGTTTTTGTTTTTGTTTGGTTGATTAGGTGATGAACTTTTGTTGATAACAAGACAAACATCTTATGCAAATATTTCGATACATGAAGAATTTCTTAAAAGTCCTGATGCTAATAAATATGATAAAGATTTTCATCTATATTTCGTTACTAAATCACCAACAACAGCATGTATTACTGGAAGAAAACTAACCATAACAATGAGATGTAAACCAGGCAAAATGACCGAAATACGAACACCAAATTCATGTCCCGATGGAACTTGTAATGGATGTGATTTTCATCTTTTAATCGAAACTGGAACAGCAGCTGCTTGTCGTCTTTGTCGACCGTATTCGAATGATTATGAAACAGTTATTGGTGAATGTATTGATGGTTCACAAAAAATTCATTATGTTAATCCAAAAGGTTGTGTAATGAAAAAATTTAAAACTAATGATACGCAAACTACTACTTTGATAACAAACAAATTAGTATTGAATCGAACATGTTCATTATTATTACCAAAACAAGTACAAATCGGTATAGCAATGGCAATGGTATCCGGTCTATTTCTTCTGCTGTTAGTATTCTATTTTTGGAATAAAAATCGTTCATTAGAATATAAATATACAAAATTAATTGAAAATACATGCGAAGGAAAAGGAAACGAAGATGATGATGAAATGGCTATCGATAATTGTTGTGTTGAAGATGTTGATTATGATTGTCAACAGAATGAAGATAAATTTGATGAAAGAAAAATTGATAATGATAATAATCGATGTCGTTCGAATCGAAAATCATTGAATAACAATCATAATCGATTGGATAAACGTTGTATGATGATAAAAGATGAAAAAGATTTTGATCAACAACAAGTTGAATTGCAACAATTGTTTCCAGCCAAATCAAATGATGATAACAACAATAATAAAAATAGTAAAAATCGTCAAACATTCGATGATGAAGGCTATGAAACGATACATTTAATTTCAGCAAATACTATTCCAGCATCTCCAGCAGCTAATAATCTGACGATTTAAAACAAAAAAAAACAATTTTCCATTCATCAACGCTTTTTTTGAATGATTGAATTTTTTTCTTTTCTCCTTTCAGCATTCCAATTTTTTTTTCTCGTTTTGTTTTCCAAATAATTTTCTTTTTTGCCTTGTCAATGTTTTTCTGTTGTCTTCTTTTTTCTGCTGTCTTTCCCCCTCTATATATGATAAATGAATCCAAAAATGAAAATTTTTAATATATTCCAAAATGAATAAAAATCATGCGTTTTTTTTCTGTTGTCATATTGATTAATTTAGACTATTTTTTGTTTCTCTTGACTGATAACAACAACGTTTTAGGTCAAAAAAACGCGTGTGCAATATACATGAAATGACAAATATGGACAAAAACAGATCGAGATCACCATCACATCCCTTTTTTTAATATGAAACATGCGAAATAAAAATCCTTTTTACGAAATCCAAAAAAGAAAAAAAGATTGAATTCACTATCCCTCTCTCTCTCTCTCTGTGTGTTGTTTGTCATTTAAACTAATTATAATTATAAATCATAGGATTAAGCATGTGTGTGCGAATGAGTGTTATTTTTTTATTTTGTTAGTCTAAAATTTCGATCAAATATCCCAAATATCATTATCATCATTGTCTGATGATGTTGGGATATTCTCAATGTCCATTCTTTCACATTGTGCAATAAAATCAATATTAAGTGTCAAACAAACGATAAAAAAACAGAAAAAGAAAAAGAAGATCATTCGGATGATGCAAAATTACTGATTTAAGTTATAGATGTTTAAATTTTTTTTAAAACTTTAAAACTTAAATTTTCTTTTACTCTTTTCGCTCTCCGATCTGTTAAACTTTTTTTTAAAAAAATTCATTAGAGTTATGTTACGATTTTGCTTCATCATCCCAATGTCGATGTTGTTGCTGAGACGCACACTACTATAGTCTGACAATGTCCAAAAATGTTCACCTCAAAACGATCTTATGGACATTTGTTTGTTTGTTTATTTCAAAGAAAAAATGAAATAAAATAAATTCTTTAAACCCTAAGTATTATTATTATTATGTTTATGAGTTTCACCATTAACAAGAAAAAGTCTTACCACAAACAAAATAATCATCGCTAATCATTCGTGGAAAACTAAATAAACTAAAAAAAATCATAAATTGAATAGGTTTGGTTGTCAATCGAGCGCGTACCTGAAACAAAATTAGTCCGAAACACACAAAGAGAGAGAGGTAAGCAAGGAGAAGACGTTGACAAAACCAAGGTATCTTTTGGCATAAAATGAATTGAATAATTTTTAATAGATTTAGTGGCCACAAATTTCACTCATTCATTCATTTTCTTCGTTTATTTATTAGCTTATTATTCTTGTTTTCATCTTTTTTTTTTTTTTTGGTTTTGATTTTCGCGTTTAAAATATGATGCTGTTGTTACCTATAAAATGCTAATTTTTTTTTTCTTTCAACATTACTTACCTTACCTTACTTTGTTTGTTGGCATTCATCCTTTTTGGTATGTAATGTATGTCCAATAGGATGTTGATGCGTGTTGATTTTGAAGGTCAAAAATTTTTCTTTTTTATCATCGTCGTCGTCGTCTTTTTTTTCAAAGAAAATGATCAATAACGACAACAACAACAACAAGATGAAGAAGAGGATCATATTTTTTCTGTTTTTTTCATCAATCTTGATGGTCGAAATTTTTTTTTTTTTTTGTGAAAAAAATTGATGACGATAATCAGTTTTTTTTAATGGACAAAGTTTCAATCTTTTTCGTTTCTTCATCTTCGTTGTTTGTTGTTGGTTAGATCAGTTGGATGATCGATTCATAAAATCAATCGATCTGCGAAAAAATAAGCCAAATCATCGTTGATCTAAAACAGATCAAATTTGTTCAGATCAGTTATTTTTGTTTCGGAAAAAAACTTTTTTCGACCATAAATAATAGAGATAGATAGACCACCATCACAGATGAAAAATATTTTGTTTGTTTTGTTTTTTGAAATGCAAATAACGTTTATTATCTTCTTTCTTGACTTTGTCATCAATGGCTTTCATGTTCAATAGTTTCGATTGTAAATTATCATTTTTTTTTGTATGGTTTTTTCTCATATTATTATTACATGCTAATAATAATATTTTCAGTGATTCAATGTATCAACAAAAAAAAGTTGTAAAGTTTTTTTTTGTTGTTGTTTCTTCTGAATTTTCTTCTAAACTTTTTCTATTTTCAATTTGAAATGAATTTCAAATTGAAAAGAAGTTCATTCCAAACACAACAACAACAATTATCGAATGCAAATCTTTTGGCTACAAGATTTTAATTAAAATCTTTTCGATTTCAGAGAATGTTTCAAAGAGAAGAAGAAGAAAACTTTGTTTTTTCTTTTCGCCAAGGCGCCAATAATTATATTCCAAATTATAATGGGAAAAAAAGGATGGAAAGGAGAAAAAATTTTCATTCGATTTTCAAATCTCGTTTTTTTTTTGATTTTTGATTTTATCCATTTAAATATATAAAGATCACATGAACACCATCACCATAATAATAAGGAAAAGATTCACAAATAAGCTTGATATTTGAATTTCTAAAAGAAAAAAAAATTGTCATCAATAAAGCCAATGACAAGGTAAAAAAAATATTAACAAGATCAATTTATCAATCTTCAATCAAAACTGTATTTTGTACACTACCGTTTTATCACAACTTTGATGATCTTCTTTTTTCCCCTAATCTCTCAGTAAATGATCAAATCGATTGGACAAAAAAAAAAACAAATTCAATAGTTTCTTTTTGCTTAATGATTTTTTCTTATCTGTTTGAAACATTTGTAACTGATTTTTATTTCTTTTCTTCGGTGTCCATAAAATGTATTTATTTTATTTTTTGTGATTGAGAAGATTTGAAATAAATAAACTAGATGATGATTATGATTATTCACCAATATGATAATGTTGCATATTCGCAATGTTTCAAGATGTTTTTTTTTATTACAAAAAAAAAAATTTCCACATTTGAAAATTGTGACCTATTTTTCATTTGATCAAAAAAAGAAGAAAAAAATCAAATTGGATGATATTTAGATTAAAATTATGATGAGATCCGGTATAAGAAAATTATTTCATATAGGGTGATTTGATTATCACACCTTTATGATCTGCCAATCGTGGACTTACCCGATATGATGATGATGATGACAAAATGTACTAATTCGTCGAAATTAAAAATGAGCGATAATGAGTGAAATGAATGGGAAAAAGAAGAAGAAGAAAAAGACGAAATTGTCAAAAATGGTTGCCACCATCAAAAGTGATTTATGATATTTAATTTCAATTTGAAGTAGTAATGTAATTTCCAGTTAAGTCAGTTAGTTAGTTTGAATAGACCGGATGATGATAATGTTTTATTGGTGAAACAAATTTTTTTTTTGTTCATTTGGTGCATACATGTCACATTAAAACCTTTTTTTTTGGTCGTTGTTGTTATCAAAATATCGACCTGTAATCTTTTTTTTTAAAAAAAATTCAACAGATACAGGTATATATTTAAATATAGTTGGCCATAGTTTTTTTTAAATAGATGATGATGATTATGGTGATAACAGATCTTTTGATGACATTTTTTTTTCAATCTGTCTTGCACTAATTTAAAAAATCTATCTTACTCGTTTTTTATCAATCTATTTCGGTTGAATGTTTTTTGTGTTGATTTTGATATATGGATATTTCATTTCCAAATGTAAATTCAATTGGATTTTAGTTGTTTGTCATCTGTGGATTAATATAGAAGATAATTAGACAAAAAAACAAATGACCATAGATAACAAACAATTAGATTAACATTTTTATAATAATAAAAAACTGAGTTAGCTTCTTTGCTTCAAAGCAAAAAATTTAAGCGAACAAACACGTGCATCCTGTTATTATTATAAAACTGCTTCATTTTCTGCTTTCATTAATTCTTGTAATAAATATTTATAGATTTGTTAAGTCCTGCATATTTATAATATCAAAATTTTAAATCAAATAGAAAATTGAAAAAAAATTGATTCAAATCTTTCAAATGATAGTCAATTTTAATGAAAAAAAAAAATAAAAAAAAGATCTAATCGAGAAAGGAAAAAAACCATGTACACTGCACAGTATATATGTAAACTCTATGGATGATGTAATAATAAAAAGAAGATGAAGATGAAAAAAGCCTGAACAATTTGATTGATAGATAGATTGATCATATAGATTAGACAAATGAAATGTTGATTTGTGTGTGTGGTGTGTCTTCATTTTTAACTGAATGTAGGTAATATATCCCCGGATAGAAATATTTCAAAAAAAAAATCTATGCAAAGATGATTCGAAGAAATAGATTTTTTTTCGGGAAAAATTTTTTCTCTGATGCAGATCTGAAACATCAAATGAATTCCTTGAATAACTGTAATTTTGGATTCGGATTTTTGTTGTGGTTGTTGTTGTTTGTTTGCATAATTTATTGGCTAAATAATTATAACATTTTGTAATTAGAAACGAAAAAAATTGAATAAAATTCTTTAAAACAAAAGAATTTTTTGTTTCCAGCTTAATTAATTATGAAATGAAAAAGAAAGCCGGCAAACATAAACCAACAAAAATATCATTTACAAAAAAAAAAAAATAGTCAATTTTGGTTTTTGATTGGTTGCAATCAACCAAAACAAAACAAGAACAACAAAACGATGATTGCCTAATGTAATTCCTTCTCTCTCTTTCTCTCTCTCGCTTTGTCATTGTGGTGGACACACACCAAGAGAATATCAAGTGGTAATCATGATTATCATGACAAACAAACAAACAAACAAAAATGGTCATAAAAAAATTGTCCGATTTATGTTGACAATAATAACAATTTAGTGTGATTTAAGAATCTTTTCTCTCTTTTCTGTTTTGTCCTGTCGAGAAAATGAAAATGAAGAATAAAATGAAAGAAACGTACCTTTTTCTTCAATGTTTTTGTTCATTGAATCCGGTTGGTTTGTCGAAACAAAACAAAACGAATTGAACCAAAAACAACGAAATTCTATTGTCATTTTTTTAAGTCGACATTATATATCAGCAAAAGGATCATGTTGTTGACGAATGATAATGGTGAGAAAAT